AGAGCAGGGTACACTGAAGACACATCAGCACGTGCATAGTGGGGAAAAGCCATTTAGGTGTGATATATGTGATAAGTCATTTAATAGGCAAAGTAATCTGAAGACACATCAGCGCATACATAGTGGGAAGCAGTCATTTAGATGTGATGTATGTAATAAGTCATTTAATCTGCAATGTAATCTCAGGAAGCATGAGCGTATACATAGTGGGGACTGGCCATTTACCTGTGGTGTGTGTAGTAAGACATTCGGAGTGAAGGGTACACTGAAGAGACATCAGTGCATGCATAGTGGGGAGAAGCCATTTAGGTGTGACATATGTAATAAGTCATTTAATCAGCAATGTAATCTGAGGAGGCATGAGCGTATACATAGTGGGGAGAAGCCATTTACCTGTGATGTGTGTAGTAAGACATTCAGAGAGAAGGGTACACTGAAGTCACATCAGCACGTGCATAGTGGGGAGAAGCCATTTAGGTGTGACATATGTAATAAGTCATTTAATCGGCAAAGTAAGCTGAAGACACATCAGCGCATACATAGTGGGGAGTAGCCATTTAGATGTGATGTATGTAACAAATCATTCAGTCGGCAGACTTATCTGCAGACACATCAACGCATACATAGAGGGGAGTGGCCATTTAGATGTGATGTATGTAATAAGTCATTCAGAGAGCAGAGTACGCTGAAGAGACATCAGCGCATACATAGTGGGGAGCGGCCATTCAGATGTGATGTATGTAGCAAATCATTCAGTGATCAAGGTCATCTGGAGAGGCATCAGCGCATACATGTTGATGTATGTAGTAAATCATAGAGCAGTAGAGATGGGTTTTGACTGAGGAACAGTTTGTGACATGTAGCATGCCACAGTATTTCATGTTGATATAAGACAATTTTTTTACTCTGTGTTGCATGCTGCATGTTTGTGGAATACAAGATATTGGAGTTGTTTGTTAACTATTTCTGACGTGGAATGAACTGAGTCTCATGGTACAAACTGTTATTGGGTATCGGTGGCCGTTTAATTCTGATTGCTGAATGTGTACAAGACCCTGTCTTGTTGAGTGGAAACAGACATGACATGAAATTCTCCTAGTTATGTTAATTCAGCAGTGGAAGCTAATAATTAGTAGAATTTAGTCACCGAAATTTATTGACAGCTTAAAAACATAATTTTCCAGCGTCATTTGTTACTCATGCGTTGAGCAGTTAGTCACATATTGCTACATCATTTGGGTTGAGTATATTGAGATAACTATTATGGATTGCTCAGATGAACACAAACTATGCTTTATTGGTCATTGCAAGCAAAATATTGTCTCTTGTTCAGGGTTCTGTGAGAAGAAATGAATGGATTCTGGATTAGGTGAAGCTGTGTATTGGATAACTTGTTTACAATTGCAAACA